CCTGCTGCAAACCTCTTATCTGGGCTGTCCCCGGGCCCCTGCTTGTTGCTAGGCTAGCTCTGCAGGAGGTGGGGCACCAAAAGGAACAGCGTGCCCCTTTGGTCCACTGCTGAGCACCCCTGCCCCAGCACCTTTCCTGGGAAGGGAGAATGCAATTCTTGAGGCCAGTCTGGCCTGACCAGGAGCTTGTGGTAGGACCCTTCCCTACAAGGTGGACAGCAGAAAATCTCTCCTTGTGGCCTGTTTCCCTTCTGCAGCCAGGCCCCAGTGGGAGTTTGCCCTGGCCAGAAAGGTCTAATAGTCTTTCCTTTATTCCTTAGTTAATTATTGGGCACTGCTGTGGACCAAACAGGAAGAACTAGGACATGCACCCTCTGCCTACTGTCCTGGGAAGCCCATGGCTTTGCCCCAGAAAGACAGGACCCCCATCCCGACAGCTGGCCCTGCACTCACTTCCTATGGGCTGGGGTTGGGCTTCTTAGGCCAAGGCTACTACCCCTTCCTGGCTGACCCCACGCACGGGTTGAGTGCTCACATGGCCCTGCTTCCCGTAAGGCTCCTTTTTGCTCCATCCACCCCCATACTATGCCTGGCAAAAGCTCAGATTGCCCAACATCAGTACACATAAGGGGCCCATAGTGACAACTGTCACCATGTCCCTCTGGCTTGTCACTGTAGTCTCCCAGGGCAACGGCTAATGGAAGTTGTTAAGGCTTCTGCCTAAGGGTCACACCAACAAAAGGGCCACCAACTGCCTGGGTATGGGGGGCGAGGTATGGGAGAGAGGGTGTTTCCCTGGGCAGCCCTTGCATGATGGAGCTCCATAGGGAGTTAGCGTGCTTGGGCCGTTTCACCGTGAATCTGGCATATTTGGGGGTCTTAAGGGGCCGCCCCACCCAGTCCCAGTGATTGAATAATAGTCACACCCTGCTCAGTGGCATCTGTAGTGAGCCCAGGTGGGCCTGTGACTTCAGGCACTGCCCTGGCCCACCTGGGCTCAGTCTGCTCTTGGTGGAGGGTGAGCTGGGAAACCTCTGAGAAGATGCAGACCAGGCCGTGACCTCTGCCAGTTCAGCAGCGAGGCAGAGTGAGGGTGAGAGAGCCCCAAGCTGCCTGTTGGCGTGTCTCCTTGAGGGGATAGGGAACTAGCCGCCTAGCCCTTGACCCCAGAGAGACTCAGAGAGGAAGGGCGGTGGCAGCTCCCGGTGGAGGAAGAGCAGTCTGTTTGCCGTGTGTGCCCTTGCTTGTGTCTGAGATCTGTTCTCGAGAAGTTTTGACAGCAGGATGCTAATTCCTGCTTTTCTTGGCATTGGGTAGAAGCAGGACATCTGTGTGTATGTGTGCATTTAAATTAAATTATTTATAATAAGCGGAAGCAGCTTTCGCTGGCCAGGGTCCTCCTGCCAAGCAGACGCCCCTCCTGCCCTCTGGTGGGCATGGGAAAACATCTCATGAGGCAAGGCTCATCAGAGTAAGGATTCCGGCCTTCTTAGAGTTCTGTGTGATTTTTGTTAGTTATCTGTCTGTTCCTTAAAGTTCCATCACATGGAGAAAATGCCAGCTAGCACCTGCTGACGTTCCTGGCAGCAGCTGAGGAAGTGCTCAGGGCTTGTTGGTCGGGAACGCATCTCCCTGCCTGGCCTTCTCTTCCCCTCCACCAGGGACAACTGTCAAACAGCCCCAAGTCAGGGTGGGTCTATCCCAGGTGCTGAGTGACCTTTCTTGAGACATGAGGGAGGTAGACTTGACTATTTCACTCTCTAGGCCCAAGATCCCCACCCCGGGACTGAACAGGCTCCCCTGTAACACTTGCCTGGGAACAAACCACCAGGATGTATCCCCACCATCCCTCGGCCCCTCACCTGCCCCCCGTCCTGCGCAGGAAGGAGCCTGTGTCCTTTCTGTCTGTGACTGTTGCTGAGCGTCGTCTGTCTCGTCCTGTAGTAGAATTGTGGATAATTGTCTAGTGACCCTCTAATCTCTGTAACCAGCACTCTTGGCCCTGGCCCTAGATATGTGTTTTGGATGCTGTGTTTTCAATAAATGCCTCTGGGGCCCTGCTTTTACGCGTTGGTGTCGGGTGCCACGTCTTTTTCTTTCACATCTTTTCAGAAGGGCTTCTGTGCCAGGGCTTGGGGTGGGTGGGCTTTGGGGTACAGGCGTATGTACAGGAGTCTGGGTGGGGGGTCAGAATGGGGAGCTGGTAATGACACCAAACAGCTCAGGGCCCAGCTCTCCTCGCTTGCCTGGCTGGAGCGCACTTCTCCCATCTCAATAAACTGCTGCTTACAATGTAGTCCTCTCTCTCCTTCCACTCTTGACATGGACTGGGGCTGGGCTAGGGGCCAATCGTCTCTCCTCGGTGAAGGATGAGTCTCAGTGCAACATACCTGGCCCTTCCCCAGAGTCCCTACTCCAAGGTGGATGTACAGACACGAATTCTTAGCTCTTGGTCCCCATGTGAGATGTGGTCTGAGGATGCAGGATAATCTGGGGGACCTCTAACCAGGGAAATGGCAGAGTTTTTGGAGTTCAGGGCCTGACAGAGATTGGGCTCCTTTAACCAGAGGCAGCTTCAGGGACGTTGAGCTGTTCCGCGCACCCCCACCCAGAACGGAACCCTTCACGCAGAGCACTGACCAGAGCTGGCACCAAGCACTTTACGGGTTCTGCTGATGAGCGCTGTCACTGAATCCCAACAGGAAGGGTCAACCTCCCAAGGGCTCTCCCCTGGCCACACACTTTCAGTTGCACCAGAACTGGGGACAACACTTGTGCCAGGTAGACAGGAAACTCGGGTGTTAAGCACTGGGACAGTCCCAGGGGTGAGCAGGGGTGGGAAAAGGGAGCACACTTCTGGAGCTGACCCTTAGGGTTCAGAAGCCTTTGGGCCCAGCTGGTCACCGCTGGAACCTCCAGCCCAACAGAGACATTCCTCTAACTGCCCCCCAATGGTACTCACTGGCCCCACCCCCACTGGCCTACTGCTCAGGGTCACCGTGCACTATCTCGAAGAGGTGGGCTCAGGAAGCCCAGCGCAAGCCCTGCCGCTATCTGCTGGACGGGCCTGGGCAGCAGCCCTGCTTCAGCCCATCCACTGTAGTCACGCTGTGTCCTCTCGGTCTCCCCAGCCTGGGCCAGACCTCAGCTCCTCCCACAGAGATTTAGAGGTTCCAGCCACATTCACTGCCTCTGTAGTGCCCATGAGTGTCTTCCCTCTCTGGGCTGTTGCTGTCACACTTCTAAAATGCAGCACAGAATCTTATTTTGTTTAGAGGCAGAGTCTTCCCTAGTGTCTTGAGGGCAAGGATGTGTGTCAGACAAGTGTTGGGAAGAGGGTCCATGGGCAGAGGGAGTTAAGCGTCTGGCCTGGGGCGAAGTTGGCCCTTCTACAGATTACTGAGTTCCGACCTTAATTCCATATTCTCTAAACAGTGGGCCTTGCCTTTGGCCCTGAAGTCCAGGTGGCCGCCTGGTATTTTGGAAAGTGTTAAAAAGATCACATGGTTCCTCATGAAGTCAACAACCCTTCCCACTTACAAAATGTATGTGAAAGGACCAGGGGAGGTGCAGATAGCTGGGGAGACGGGTGGAAGGTGGCGTGGCTAGTGATCCCTGAGTGTTTGGTGGTGATGGGCACGTGTGCCTTAGCCAGACCCCGGCTCCTGCAGGGCCTGAGCCAGCCTGCCCCTCCGTCGGCAGATTGTCTGCTGGGCTCATTTGTCCCTTGGGACCGAGGTAAGGCTGGACCCTTGCAGCTCCGTCCAGATGGCGGACTAATGTATTAACTGCCTCTGTCTCTCTTTCCCCTCTGTAATCGGGTGCCTTAATCAGAAGCATGGTTGACGTTGCGACTTGGGGCCATCAGGTCCAGTTGTGTGATTTGTACCAATCTCAAGTTAAAGAGACACTGTCACCTGTCTTTCTGGCAGCCTTGTGGTCATTCACAGTCTTGTCTAAGTTCAAGTTTGGTGTGTATCCCATGAGAGCCTCTTCCTGTGAATTCCAAAGCCTCTGCCCCCTGCTCTTCAAGGAACTCTGGAGGCACTCCCCTCCCAGGACAGAACAGCAGTGGGACTTGGAGCAACTGTGCCCTGGGGAGCGAGGGGTTCCCAAAGCTCTGCTGTAGCCCTGCATCCTGATGTCCGAGCCTGTCTGTGAGACCAACCAGGGCATCTCTGAGCATACTGCTCTGTCGAGAGGCTTGGGGCACAGAGCAGGGCATGGCAAGGAAGAGTCCAGGTCCCTTAGTCTTCATAGAGTGCCTGGTAAAGTACTGGGCATTTTTGCTTTCAAGGCAATGGGTTGGCCTAAGGTTGGCAAGGATGACAGTGTCACTTTAATAGGGAGACTCAATAGTGGAAACAGTTTGCTGTGAGCCAGAGGGGGCATGCAGGGAGGGGTGGGTCGTGCCAGCACCTCCCAGCCACCCGCTCCTAATGGCGTGAATGTGGTCGGACTGCTTTTCTGCTTCAACTAACGCACGCCTCCTTGAAGACCCCAACTCAGGCCCCCACCTTGCACCGTGGGAAAGGGGATGGAACGATGTGCAAGTCTGTCTCCAGAACCTTCTGGGCTGACCCTCTTCCTCTCTCCCGTGCTGCACGGGCCCCTACAGGTACTTCCCAGGAGATTCCACCAGTCTTTTTCCCATCAGCCCCGGCCTGGCCATCCCCTGCCCAAGTGTCCGAGGCTCCTCACCACCCCTCCTCATCCCCACCCCGCCCGGCTTCCTGCCACTCACCAACCAGCAGCTGTTCCGATCTCCCCGACGCACCTCTCCCTCCTCGCTGCCAGGCCGCCTCAGCCGGGCCCTCTCGCTGGGAACGAGTCCCTCTCTGACTCGAGCAGGTGAGAGTTGTGCAGGTGTTGGGGGCAGCAGGGACAGGATGTGAGTGGCGTGCTGGGAGGGACCCAGGAGGGTGGTTAGCACTCCGGCTGTGGAGACAGGCAGAGGGAGGTACAGGTCCTGGTGAGTCCATTCAGCAGCAGCCCTTGGCCATGGGTCTTACTTGGTCTGAGCCTTTGTTTCCCCTGAGAGCGGGGCTAGTGATCATGAAGGCTGAATGAGGTGACACATTAAACGTGCCTCGGACAGCTGACACCCATGGGTCCTCGGTGCGTGTATGTGCTTGCTGGGTTTTGTCCGTTACTGCCATCCTTAGCATCACTGCTACTGTTGTGACAGACCCTGGAGATTGGGAAATGTGCCCCAGGCCTTCCTGGGTGGTCCTGGGGACAGAGATTGCATTCAGTTGTTTTATCGAGAGCTCCCGACTTGTAGACCCTGAAGGGACCTGGTCCCTATCTTGAGAGATTTTTGTCTCATTCCTCACCTTTCCAACATGATGTTCTAAGAAGTCCGTTGGAAATTAAATCCAATTTTAGATACACAGAAGTTCTCCTTGTGTGGGGGGGTTGTGTTCCGAGACCCCCAGTGGATGCCTGAAACAGCAGGCGGTACTAAACGCTGCATATGCTGTTATTTGGATCTGATTCTACTCAGAATGGCATGCAGTTCAAAACTTATGAACTGCTTATGTCTGGAATTTTCCATTTAATATTTCCAGACCAGAGTTGATTGCGGATAACTGAAACTGCTGAAAGCAGAGCTGCAGATAAAGGGTGACTACTGTGCTTGGAGCCCCACAGGGGTTCTGTGACAACCCTGTCCCCTCTCAGAAGCTGCCTGGTGCACACTGGGTCTGTCTCACTCTCAGTAGTATATCTTGGGTGCTGGCTCTCTGAATACCAGGCAGGCCTGGTGCTGGGGCCCCAGGGGCTGTGAGGCAATTTATTTATTTTTAAAGATTTTTGCTATAGTGTACATGCACTCGGCAGAGAGACAGCAAGAAATTGCCGCCCCCCACCCCCCGGGAGGATGGCCATGCTGCAATCCCTTCTCCATTCTCCTTTCAGAACTTTGGGCACATGTGCCTCACGTGAGTGTTAAGCCAGGATTCAAACCATGGTCAACCGCATGGGAGTCCAGTGATATAACCATTACGCCATCTGCTGGTCCCCATTCAGTCTTACTTGAGTCCCTCAACATCCCAGCCAAATGGGGCTTCAGCTCTATATCAGACACGCCTCTGAGCCTTGGTTTGTGTGAGTCTTGCCCCAGGTCCTGCTGCTGCCAAGGGCTAGGGTTTAAGCGTAGGCCATGCAGCTCCTGTTCTGTGCAGGTAAGTGTCTCCTGAGCTAAAGATGGGTCACCCTGCCAGCAGGGATTGTGTGCTGGAGGAGATGGCATTTGGGGGTGAGGGTATAAGGTATTCAGGGTAGGGCAAAGGTATGGAACCCCAGCACAGAGGCCGAGACTAGATGTTTCTGTATGCCCAAACAGGAGCTGAGCTTCTAGAGGGCAGCTGGTGCCTGTCCCCCTCCCGGGGTCAGGCCTTGCACTGGGCTCGGGGGTTGGGGGTGGTATACTAGCTGAAGAGTCCCAGCTATGGCCTGGCCAGGCTCATGCTCCAGGTGCAGTGGGACCTCTGGGCCTTTGTGAACAGTAGCTGGGGCCCTTCTCCAAAAGAGTGCTCTCTGGGCTGTCCCCAGCAGGAGTGGGATTTGGGAGCCAGGCCTCAGAGTGGAGGATGGGGCTGCAGTAGCCTAAATGGGGGAGGGACTCAAGCTCCCTGCCCCAGAGTCTTTTTTCTTTCTTTTTCTTTCTTTTTTTTTTTTTTTTTTTTTTTGAGAAGTTTTTGCTATAGGGCACATCATGAGACAGAAAGTGAGAAATCACCCCCGGGGGGATGGCCACACTACAATCCCTTCTGCTCCATTCTCCTCTCAGGATCTTGGGCACGCACGCACATGTGCCCGGCGTCAGTTTAAGCCACCAGGTCCGGGACTCAAACCTCAGTCGACCACATGGGAGTCCAGTGACATAGCCATTACGCCAACTGCTGGTCTGTGCCCCAGAGTCTTGATGGCCAACTTGTGGGGAGAAGAATGCAGACTTGAGGACAGCTTCCTCTTGTGTTGCTGTAAAAATAAAATGATCCTGGTTAGTCATCCCAGAGTGAAAGGCAGGAACTCGACCTCAGAGGGGAGCAATTCCTGCTCTTCAGGTTTCCCATAAGGAAATGCAAAACTGGAGCCACAGGTGTCATCGGCCACCCACCCCTCCCTGTGAGAAAACTCTGCCCCACCGTCCTGTCTGACAGGTGGAATGAAGGCCACACACTCCCTGAGTCCACATTGAGGATCCTCTGGCCTCATCACCACGGGGATTGTGTTATCTGCCAGTGTCTATGATGGGAACTGGTAGTCCACACTTGGTGGAGTTGCTGTGAGGATTATCTGCAGGAAACCGGGGTGCTTGAAACAGCTGGGAGCACCCCAGCAATGCCCCTTAGTCCTGGCCCACCAAGTGCGGGGGCGTGACCTTGGCTAGGTGCATGCGCCTCGCTGCACCCTGATCTCTTCCTGTAAGTGAGGGCTACAGGACCATGGGGACGAAGTGAGACCAGTCAGCAAAGTGCCGGAGCAGTTTCCCTCAGCAGACTGGCTGCTGTTAGGGTTCTGGGGTGGGGGTACTCCCAACAGCAAAGGCCCCGCTCCCCAATGTAGTTAAAGGTAAGACCATTGCGCTCACGCTCCGAGGCTGATATTAGGATGGTTTGGTTTTCCCGTAAGCAGAGATCACTCTCTCTGTTTTGGGGGTTCCCAGCGTGGAGGCTCTTGAGCAGAACTTGGGGTGGGGGGGATTCTGCTAAGGGTACGAGGGAAGCAGCCCCACCCTGGCTCCAGTGCACCCAGAGGCCTCTCCACACGTACTGACCAAGATGATAGAACTGAGGGATTTCTTCAGGAGGGGAGGGTGACAACGCCAGGGTCTGTTAAGCCCTTTGGGGCAGGACTGCCTACCCATTCCAGGCAACCGGCAGTCTCTCTGTAGAGGCTTACATTAAGGGCTCGGAGTGGTTCCTCATGCCCACTGAGGCCCAGGATGTCTGCTGATGGTTGGGATCCCAGAGTCTATTGCAGGGGAGTCCAAGGGTCAAGTCCTGCAGGTCTTTGTAGCCAGGAGGCCAGGGCTTGGGCACTGTGGCCTGGTCCAGCATCCTTCCTGTCTCTCCCTCGCTCTTTCTCAGCTCTGCTCCTCTGCGGCAAAGCTTACCCATGCACCCTACAGCTCACACCCAGCATCCATTGAAGGACTCTAATCAGTGTGCATGGGTCACGTGACCACCTTCCCCAGTCACGTAGCCGGCCAGGGCCTGTGTCACCAGCCCCTGGCCTGATACAAGGAGTGGCAGCAGCCACCCCCAACAGCACGTGACCATCTTTGGATCTGTCCATATTCAGCTCTCAGCCAGGTACTCGAAGAACAAGATATGCTAGATGTGGCTCACTTTTGGCGTGCATCAACCTAGGACAAGGCTGCGGTTCGGTGCTCCCTGGGGGCTGTCACAAATGCATGGGGACTGGGGGTAGTGAGACAGTGGGACTCAGATGACTGGAAAAGCAGGGCCTGTGTGGAAGGCGCTGGCTGTTCTGGAGCCGCTCCATGAGTTTCCGTTTCTGTACCCCAATGACGTACCCACTGTGCCTCAGGTGGTAATTTGAGGGGTCCTTTGAGCCCCTGTTCACTGAAAGCACGTTGTAAACGGCACAGGTTGGTTTCAGCAGAACGTCGGTGGGGCTGTGTGGTGAGGGATGGACAGGGTGGGCTGGTCATCTGTCCCCTGGCCTGATGTGTCGGTTCTTTTGTCCCCAGATTCGGGCTATCTGTTCAGCGGGAGCCGTCCACCGTCTCAGATGTCCCCATCTGGGGAGGTTCCTGTCTCAGGTAAGGAGAACAGAGCTGAGAAGAGGGCTGGGCAACAGAAGACCTGGGCTTTCTAGAGCAGAGTGGGCCATGTGAGCTCTGGAGTCAGACAGACCTGTGTTCAGGTGCCAGCTATGGGCAAGTGAGTGAGATGCCCGTGCCTCGGGTCCCCTTGAGCGAAGTGCTGAGGGCAGTTATGAGGACCAGATGATACCGTGCTGTCCTGATTGGTGGCCACAGTGGAGAGGGCGCACCGGGGCCCAGCTTCCGCAGGGTTCGGGCTAGCCCACTTCAGATCTCCAGCATGCTCTGACCTGGGCCCTATTCTCAGCAGGGGAGGTATCAGGCCCTGGATAGAGACCATGCAGGGGTGTGGCTGAGTCCTGTGATCTCCCCCGTCGGGCATCCAGCTGGGTTCACTGTCTCCCCAGTCTGCACAGCCTGCCTTCTCCCTGGGTTCACAGAGAGAAGCACAGGGACAGTAGCATGTAGTGAGCGTTGCTGTGACAGCACATGTTCACGTGTCATTGTCGTGGCTGATCGCCTCCCTCTTCCCTTCAGATTACTTCTCTCTGCTGTCAGGGAGCTGCCCCTCCTCTCCGCTCCCCTCCCCGGCGCCCTCCGTGGCTGGCTCGGTGGCCTCCAGCTCCAGCTCTCTACGCCACCGCAGGCCCCTCATCAGCCCTGCCCGGCTCAACCTGAAGGGGCAGAAGCTGCTGCTCTTCCCATCGTCTCCTGGGGACAACCCCAACACCCCCAGCAGCTCGGATGAACACTCACCTCACAACGGCAGCCTTTTCACCATCGAGCCGCCCCGGGGCCACCTGAGGCAGCCCATGCAGGACACAAAGCACACTATGGGTATGGCCTTCTGACTGCCTTCCTTAGAGAAGGAGGTGGGCTGGGCCGGGGGAGGGGTGAGCAGGTTGAGACAGGCGGGAGCAGCCCTGCATCTACCCCTGGGGATGAGCTATGGGCACCCACTGAGACACATGCTCTTTTCTGCAGACGTGAGATCAAAGCCGGAAAGAGGTAGCATCTGCAGCAGCCGCTCCATCAAAAAGGAAGACGACTCATCCCAGTCGTCCACCTGTGTCGTGGACACCACCACCAGAGGGTGCCTGGAGGAGGCCACTGCCTGGAGAGGTCTATGCCCCCATGTGCAGGGTGGGGCAGGGGCACTAGAGCCACCATCACCTTTTGGTGGGCACAGAGTGCTGACCGAGGGCCATAAGAGAAAGAACCTAGAGGGCACCACTAGTCCTGGGCAGCCGATTGACCAGTACCCAGCACCTTCTGCAACCAGAGCCTGGGACTCGGCAGGTAGCATTTCCACCTCAGGAGGAGGGACTGGGGCTCAACTCTTCCTGAACTAAAGTTAAGTAAAATTAGAGCCGTAGGTAGCCAGGTGTGGCCCATGGCTCCTGTGTCGGATAGCAGAGACCAGAGGCTTCCGTCAGGGCAGAAAGTGCCTGGCACCAGGCTAGCCTGGAGAGGCCAGGTACGCTGAGGACACTGGCTGGGACCACAGACCTGGGGAGCCTGGGCATGCTCAGAGTGGTGTGGCAGGAGGCGGCAGGCCCGAGGAGCTCAGGTGTACTCAGCGGCATGGTGGGGCAGCAGGCCTGTGCTGGTTGCTGAGCTGCCTGGGTCCAGGTCCCCGCTCCTGTACACGGACCATTGGCACGGGGCTGTGAGGTCAGTGGTCAGCGTGTTCCTTCCCCTGACCTGGGGGGCATGTGTGTTGACAAAGAGGGACTGGCAGGAGGGTTTTCCTGGGAATATCATATTGAACAGACTCTCAAAATCCATGTTGCCCCCAAGTTGGGCCAGGTGCAGGCACGCCCTGGCAGCATGGGAGCCCTAGTGAAAGCAGCTCCGTATCTCTAAGGCCTAGGCCCGGGGACTCACCCCAAGTCCCCATTTCTTCTGCTGTAAAACTAGTGTCAAGTACCCACTGCACGTGTGTGACTGTTCCCTCGGGCCCTCCTGGTGATTCAAGCTTAGGTGACCAGGGGCAGGTCTGGTATCTTTCCTGGTAGGGAGGCCATTGGGCCTAGGAAAGAACTATGGGCAGGCCTCACCAGCTTGGGGGAGACCCCCATCAGCTACCCCCTCTGAGGGGCTGGAACTCTGACCCGGGCTTTCCACTTTCAGGTCGTCTAGGCCCCTCCCTGGTCCGTGGCCTCCTGGCTGTGAGCTTGGCCGTCAACGCTCTCTTCACCTCGGCGTACCTGTACCAGAGCCTGCGCTGACCCACTGCCCGCTGGAGAGCCTTGGAGGCTGGCGCCCGGGTGCATGCCGCTTCCACACTGCCCGCCCACAGCCCTTCCTGGAGGGGCTGCTGCCTCTGCCCTCGTCTCCAGGGCCCTGACCTCACAGGATTGCAAGTTCCTGACCTCAGGACGCCTAACCCTCCTTACCTAACAGACTGTAGGCCTGGGCCTGGCCTGAGGCCACACTGCCTGCCCATCTCCCGGCTGACTTCAGTTGTTTTTGGTGCTGACATTCTGATCCCGAAGCCAGGGATCCCTGAGGGGCTACACAGCCCCAGGGTCCCCTCAGACTGTCCGCCATGCCTGGCAGGAAGGCCAGAACTACTGCAACTGCAGCAGGAACTGGCCAGGCTGTCTCCTGACCCCGGGCTACGGGCTGTGGCCACATCTTTGTACTGTACTCTGTGTCCCACTACGCTGAAGGCCCCTGGGGAAGACAGGAGGGCTGGCCCCTGGGCCACTGCGTGTTGGCCCCTGTCCCTGCCCAGTGGAGGAAAGCCACCCTGGGCATTGCTCGTTCCATCTCCTTCCTGGCAGCTCGGGGCTGGGCTGCCCACAAGGTCCTCAGAGCTCCTGGGTCCCTGCAGCCAAGGGCCCAGTTGGGCCTTCAGGGCCAGTGTAAGCACCTGCCTCCCCCGCCCCTCAGGCATGTGCCCCTATTTTGTGACCTCTGATGACCTTCCCAGGAAGCAACCCCATTACCCTGACATCACAGAGCCCAGGGCCCACCGTTTTTCCAAGCCTCCCTCCCTGGCCCCTCGGCTCCACATGGAACCTCAGGGCAGGTCTAGGGTAGCCTTGGGATCTCCAAGTTCAGAGCCTCCCCTCCCAGCTCCTTCCAGGGGTGAGGCCTAACTCCTCCCCTCTGCTGTCCCCCTGGGCTCCGTGTGGCCTCTGCCTCCCAGGTAGGTGGCTGGCTTGCTCTCCTGCCCCACTTTCTTGGTCCTCACCCCTGCCCTTCTGACTGGCACTGCAGGTTGCCCCACTCTCTTGCTGGGGTCCCATCTTTTCCCCCTCAGAGGGGAGCAGGGAGGGACCTCAGTCGCTGAACCGTTGTGACGCTGAGAGGAATAAGGCGCTGTGTATGCCTGTGGGTGTCAAAGGCCCCCCTCCTGCTGCCCGGCCTTGGGCACAGGCCTGGGGCTGTCATCCATGTGTCTGTGTCTGTGTGTGTGTGCCACTTGGGGAGGCATCAGCTGCCTCGGGAAATTCTGAGACTTGGGGGGAGGGTCATGGGGCAGGAGGGTCTTCACTCTATCATTCAGGGATAAAGTTTAATTTTATTTTTCTACACATTTTTGCCAGGTAAGGCATTTTGCTGATAAGTGGAATGCCCCCAGTTCTCCCAGCTAGGGAGGTTTAGTTTTTTTAAGCTTCAGGTGCTTTTTTAATAATTTTTTTTACCATGTGGGGAAGGAGATTGCTCTGATTTCATCTCCCTCCTCTTGCTGACTCCTGCCGTGAGAGCGCCTGAGGCTGCTTCCTGCCCTGTCCTCCATCCGGGGCGAGGGACACGGGCTGCAGCAGGACCCTGAGTCCAGCTGCCAGGAACAGTTCCAACTCAGAGGGGATGCCTCTGGGCCTCCATGTGTGTCGCGTTTTTTACTTTATTTTTGTGCTTAACAAAACCAAACTCCATTCCCAAATGCCCTTCCTGTCTGGCTCTGAGGAGCCCCATATGGGGAACACCCACCCCTCTCCTCATGAAGCCACTGGCCTGCCTCTTCTGCCCAGGGCCTGTGGTCCCAGCACCCCTACAGGGGCAGGGGGGAGGCAGGGCAGGAGGGGCCTTTACATATGTTTTGTTTCAAACAGAAGACACCGTGTTTTTTTTTTTTTTTTACAAAAGCAAAAAAGGAGACCAAAAAGATAAAGCCTTTGGACTAAACCTTGCCGTCTGTCTTTATTCTATGCCAGGGCAACTTGGCTGGCATGAGGGAAGGCCCTGGCAGCTGACACACAGGTGGTCCCATTCATTACCTCAGTGCTCAAGTGTGGGGCCTTGGGCTCCTGGTTTGGGGTGGCAGGCTTAGTGGCCTCCATAGAGTCCCCAGATGGATGACGGGATTTGAACAGGAGACTGCCTGGGCTGGGCATGGGCCTGAGGAGTGTTCCAGGCAGAACACCGCCAGGGGCCAGGACCCAATGGAAAGCACTCAGCTCAGCTCTAAGGAAAAGCCAGTCCCAATCACCCCACAGGGATCAGCATGCAACCAACACCTGGTCTTCCCTAAGCCCACCTGGAATGGCGCTAGCCCCTCCCAGTAGCTGGGCTCAGCAGATGCAGAGCCAGGTGCCACCTGTCCCCACCCTGCCTAGGCCAGGAGGGCCCCCTTCTGGGTCAGTGTCCTAAGTGATGATGGCAAGAGTTTTCAGATGCTGCACTGGCACGCCCTGCACAGAGTGAGGAACCAGGGAAGGGGCCTCTTAAGTGACCCTCTGTGCCAGGCTGGTGACAATCTATTTCTGTCAGCTTCAGTGAAACTGAAGGTGGCCATCTGGGGCGGGTGTGGACATATGCAGGGGGCCCAGTCACCCACACTGCGTGCCTCCAGGATGATGGACAGCCTGGGAAGGAGAGCTGATTTACACCACGTCCTCAGGGCAGATTGCCTGGGGCTCTGGAGGCAGAAACCCAAGCTGGATTCACTGACCTCAGGGGACCATGTTCCCTGGGGACGCAGGTACTCCGCAACCATGGTGTGCTCATCCCCTTCTGTGCGTCAGCCAGAGCCTCAAGTCACATGCCCAGCGCCTTACAGAGCTCCTAGCTGTCCCGTGTCCGTGTGCTGTGTAGAGAAGCAAATGACTGCAAGGAAGCAGTGCTAGGCCTGCTGTTCTGTAAGAGATTCTGTCCTGTGGGGACCTACTTTGTTCTTCTGTGGCTATCTTCTATTGTTTTAAAAGGGAATCTTTAGAACATCTAGAGGGACCAGCAGATGGCCTAATGGTTATGTCACTGGTCTCCCCCGTAATTAACAGTGGTTCAAGTCTCAGACCTAACAGCTTGAAACTCATGCTAGGTGCGTGTGCATGCATGCCCATGATTCTGAGAGGAGAATGGAGAAGGGATTGTGACATGGCCATCCCCCCTGGAGGTGAGTTCTCACTGTCTTTCCGGTGAACACATGTGCCCTATAACAAAATCTCTCTTTAAAAAAAATCTAGAAAGGCAAGTGAGAAAAGTGCCTATAATCTTCCTTTTTTTTTTTTTTTTGAGACAGGGTCTCTTACTCAGCCTCCCGAGTGGCTGGGACTGCGGTCATACACCCCTGCACTCGGCTGCCGCTTTTTCCTGAGTATACCTCTACATGTATGCCTTCAGGAAAATGGAATTTTCCTGTTCATAGCGTTTTTGCAACCTCGTTTCCCACCTGACAACATCATGAACTCAGTTCCATAGTGTCAAACATCATTTCTCACCCCTGCAACGCCGGAAGGTACCACGGCTGGTTTTTCCTCCCTGCAGCCAAGCAGCTCCAAGACCGTGGTGGTTTTTCCCCACCCTTATTCATGGGGTGGCAGGAAACATCTTGTAGGGACCTATGTTTTCTGACTTTTCTTAGAATGATTTTTTTTAAAAAATAATTCCTTCCATGAGTGAGAGGGACAGAGATATGCACCCGCAGGAGCCTGATGGCCCATGCACACCCCAGCTTCAGCCAGCCCCAACCTCGGGGACGAGCATGCCAGCAAGCTCAGATAGGTCCCTGGCTTCCACATAGGTTGGCCTCGCAGGGCATCGTGTGTTTTGCTGCTGTGCCACCGTGTGGGTGATTGAGCTGCATTGTCCTGTCAAAGACTTACCAAGATTCTAAAGCTTTCTGAGTCCTGGTTGTATTCTAGAAAGGTAGTTTGTCGAGGGGTTTTATTGAAGAGGGGGTGGGTGGGGGGGGGGGGCACAGGTTTTTTTTTGTTGTTGTTGTTGTTGTTTTAACATTTTTGCTATAGGATGTGTGCACTCACTGGAGAGACAGAAAGCAAGAAATCGCCCCCAGGGGGCATGACCACACCACAATCCCTTCTCCGTTCTCTTCTTGGGGTTTTGGGCACACACACACCCTTATGCCCAGTGTGACGTTTTCTTTGTTTTGTGTGTGGGGGGGGTTGTTGTTTTTGTTTTTCGAGGGATTTTTGCTATAGGGTATGTGTGCTCGCCAGAAAGACAGAGAGAGGCAGACAGTGAGAAATCACCCCCCAGGGGGGATGGCCGCAATCCATTCTGTGTGGATCTTGGGCACACAAGCACATGTGCCCAGCGTGAGTTTAAGCCACCAGGTCTGGAATTGGAACCGCGGTCGACTACTTGGGAGTCCAGCGATGTAGCCATTACGCCATCTGCTGGTCCTGCCTAGTGTGAGTTTTAAGCCACCAGGTCCAGGACTCAAACTCTACTATGTGGGAGTCCAGCAACATAACCATTATGCCATCTGCTGGTCCTGCAGAGGGAAAAAACCTTGTTTTGTTTTGTTTTGTTTTCTAAAAATCCTGAGCTGACTTTTGCTTCAGAAACTGGCCCCGGTTGGGAATCAGCAGTTAGCATAATGGCTATGTCGCTGGACTCCCACGTAGTCGACCGTGGTTCGCGTCCCAGACCCGGTGGCTTAAAACTCACGCCGGGCGCGTGTGTGTGCGTGCCCAGGATCCCAAGAGGAGAATGGAGGCGAAGGGATTGCGGCGTGGCCATCCCCCTGGGGGGTGACTTCTCGCTTTCTGTCTCTATGTCTCTCCCTCTCTGTCTGGCGAGCACACGCGCCCTATAGCGAAAAATCTCTCAAAAAAAAAAAGAAAAGAAAAGAAACTGGCCCCGGTTACCAGACATCTTGCACAGGGAGTGGAAAGATGGTCAAAACAAAAAGTAAATACCGAAAGGAAAACCTGAGTTGCCCCGGTCATACTTGTAAAGACATGGGTGTTTTGGCTTGGTCTGGTTTTTTATTGGCAGAGGCAGGTACACTCACTAGAGAGAGAGACCGTACCAGTAGGGCACAGTCATGCCGTGGTCCTTTTCCCTTCATTTCTCCATCCCTTCAGGATTCAGGACGCACACACACCTGCCCCCCTTTTTTTTATGTATTATTTTTTAATTTGCTATAGGTCATATGCGCTCACCATAGAAAACAACAGAAAGAGAGAAAGAAAGCAAACCTCCAGGTACAGGACTCGAACCGCAGTTAGCCACATGGGAGTTCAGTGTTTCAACCACCATGCCACCTACTAAACCCTAGCTTGTTCAAGCTGCCGAGGTCAGAATTTGAGCCATGTGGGATGCAGCTTCCCCAGCACAGGGTTCATGGGGCTGCCTTCAAGATGATTTTTAACTATATTCCATGTAGGAACTTGGGGGAGGGGTTGAGAGGGGTGGGCAGGACACCCAATACCACCCCACTTCAAGTAAAGAAGCTCAGTTTTCATATGGTGAACTCCACCTGAGTTTTACATCAAAAGATTTAAAGAGGAAAAGGACCAGCTGTGGTGATGAGGCTGAAGCCATGTGGGAAGGTCCCAGGTTTGCATCCCAAGGCCTCCCTGTATGTGTGTGCCCCTGACCCTGGCGGGCTGAGGCTGCGGGCGAATCATGGTGTGAAGACCCTGTTGGCAATCTCACTCTCTTAAAAAAATAAAATCAGACCGGCAGATGAGGTAAAGGTTATGTCACTGGGCTCCATGTAGCCAATTGCGGTTCAAGTCTCAGACCCGGAGGCTTAAAACTCACACTGGGCACATGTGCATGTGTGCCCAAAATCCCAAGAGGAGAATAGAGGAGAAGGGATTGTGGCATGGCCATCCCCGTTAGGGGGTGGTTTTTCACTTTCTGTCTCTGTCTCTGTCTCTCCAGCGAGCTCACACACCCTATAGCAAAAAATTTCTCCCTCAAAAAAAAAAAAATCGTTTTAAGAAGAGAAAAAGCTTCAAAAGCCACTACTAGCATGCCACCCACCTTACCAACTAGCCATGTGACACCAGGGCCCCTCTGTGCAACAGGAGAAAGGACCCAGGTGACTCTCTGGCCCTTCTAAGGGGTCATCAGAGGCAGGGTTCCCCTGGCAGATGTCTGGGAGGTCTAGAGTGGCTTCACCACTGCACAATGCTTTATTCAGTAGCCAGCTCGGGACATTTTGCTTGAGACGGGCCAGTGGACGTCGAGTCCTCAGAGGGCTGGAGTACAGCCAGCACTGCTTCAGGGCCCACTTGTGGTTTTCTGAGCACCCTTCCCTGCTGCAAGGGGATGAGTCCAGTCTCCGTCCACCGATTAAGACTGAGCTGGACCACACTGAGGGAGGGGAGGGACCCAGGGTTTCCACAGCAGGTTCTTGCCCGTGTTCATCAGCAGATCTGTACAGTCATTATTAAGGAACTCTAGTGTGTGCCAGGCTGGGCTGGGCACTGAGGAGGTGATGGTAAGCAAAACTGGGCTGTCAGATGTTCCAAGGGGCTGACCCAGAGCTGGGGAGGCAGGCTGGGGTGAGTGCACCAACAGCTGCACGGCTAGCTGCTTAGAGTACAGCGGACTAATGGAAACGGT